AAGGGCATGTACCTTGGTTGGGGGCACATCCCCAGTAAGGGGTGTGCAAGAGGCAGTTGATCGATGATTCTCTCTCATCAATGTTTCTAACTCTCTATCCCTCTCTCTTCCTCTCTGTGAAAAAAATCAATAAAATATATTAAAAAAATAAATAGTGCTGCTATGAATATTTGCGTACAACTTTCAACTCTTTTGGGCATATATACTTACGAGTGGAATTGCAGGGTCATACAGTAATTCGGTGTCTAATTTTTAAAGAAACTGTCAAATTGTTTTGCACAATCTTTGAATCATTTTATAGTCCCACTAGTAATCTGAAAGGTTTTCGGTTTCTCTATCTTTCTCCAACATGTGTTTTTTTTTCCTGATTATTATTTTTATTTCCATTCTAGTGGGTGTGAAGTGTATCTCATTGTGATTTTGATTTGCATTTCCCTAATGACTAATGATGTTTAGTATCTTTTCATGTGCTTATTGGTTGTTGCATTTTTTTTTGGGGGGCAAATAATCTATTCACATCCTTTTCCTGGTTTTTAATTGGGTTGCTTTGTCTTTTTGTTGTAAAATTGAATACATACTCTGGATACTAGGCTTATCAAGTAACATGATTTGCAAGTATTTGCTGTAGGCTCTTTGATGCCATGTTGGTTTTGTTTATGCTGGTCTTTTGGATATTTTGGCATTATTGGAAGAAGTCCATATCTCCAAAAAGAAAATATAACAATAGTAAACATCAACATCAACATAAAAATGGTTCAGTAAACTCTGGGGTTAGGAGTGAAGATGGGTGAGAGAGTGAAGTCTGCCTAGAGTTTAAAGTTAATGGTAGAAGAGAAAGAAAGCATTTAAAATATGGAAATTACTCTTCTGAAAGTCAGTATATTAATTACAAAGAAAAAATAGGTGGATATAAAAAATGAAAAACTTAAAAGCAACAAGAAAGAATTTTTCAAAAGGTTATAATTTTTATTTTTATTTTCAGATGATGTTAGGTAACTACAAGACAAAATCAAAAGAAATGTAAATTAACATATTTGTTGGACTTGAAGTCTTATTTGTTAACACAAATAATTTCATCTAAAAGAACTCTGGTAAACCAAATGTGAATTTTCAAAACTATTTATATTTATAAAGGAGGGAGAAAAAAATGGAATGAATTAGTGAAAGCCATTCTCCCTAACCAGACTGCTGATGGGTGTACAGATGCTAAGAACCTTCTGCTTTTGCTAAAACTTGCAGAAACAGCATTGTACATCTTGCCGTGTTTAGAACTGCCAGACAAACGACATATGATAAACTCCATATGATTTGCATCAACTTCAGTTTGCAAAGTTATAATAATCATTTCTTTACTTATATGAATTTCTACTTGTACTGTTGAAGATATGTTAGAAGTTTGTTTTTAAGTCAATTGTATTTTATTCATTTATTGTCACAGATTGAAAAGCGAAATAACCTGAAAATATACTCCTGAACTTAATGTCTCTAGAATTCAACTTTTTAAGTGCTTTTTTGTGTAGATTTTTTTCACATATGTTTAAATACATTTTGGCAGACTGCTTGACATTTAGTTTTGATTATAATAAATTATTACGACTACCTATATGTTATGACTATTAGTTACAGTTTCCCAGAAGAGACTAGTAAAATAGTTTAGGTTTCTGTTAAGGACGGTGAGGGAGTTTCTTTTTAATTTTTAAAAATAACGATATTTTTATTGATTTCAGAGAGAAAGGGAGAGGGAGGGAGAGATAAAAATATCAATGATGAGAGAGAATCTTTGACTGGCAGCCTCTTGCACACCCCCTACTGGGGGGGATGGAGCCTGCAACTAGGGTGTGTACACTGACCAGGAATGGAACCTCTGGTTCATAGGTTGATACTCAGAGTCACACGTCCCAGGCTGTTTTTATTTCTTAAGGAAGGAACAAGACCATCTTAATATGTCCCCATAGAGAAGCTCAATAATTATTTTATAAATTATTTTATAAAATTTTAATACTAGATACACCTTCTAGATACACAAAGAAAAGATAAAAACAGTCAGAAGGAAGAACAGAGTGATGTAAGGGATCTGCAGCACAATCCATCACCACACAGAGGAACAGGCCTCTCCTTAACCTTCAAGGAATAAAGAAGCAGAATAATTAAAAAGAGGCTGAATTTATTCAAAGCTTTACATTTCCAAGTTTACCAGTTGTGGATTAAATCATAAACTATTTGAGAAGAACTCTGTGTATAAATGGTGGCATTGCCAGGTCACTAAATCAATTCCAATGTGAAAATGTTCAACATTTCTTTCTTCATAAATAAACATTAATTGTGGGTGTGTTGAAGAACATGATAAATGAATAGTGGAAGGTATGGTATAGATACTATCTGAAGAAATGTACAATTCTCATGCATTAGTTTTTTTTCCAAGAGAGAAAAGGGTGAAGTATTAACCCCTGAATAACATTCAAATCCATTTATGGTGCCATAGGAAAATAATGATACCCAACTATCTGGTGATTGGTATAGAGTTCCCATTTACTCCTTGGCTTACTGTAATGGAGACAGTAAAGCATGCTGGGCTGGCTTTAAAGTCGTCTAAGTTTGGGTGCTCTCCAGGCATGCTGACACTTTTTATCTTATCAATTGGGCAAGTTATTGAGGATAGCAATTCTGTCTTGGTAGGGTGATGACGATTAAGGGAGACTATGCATGTAAGACTCACCCCAGTGGCACAGAGTAAGCCCCCAAATGAACACTAGCTGGCTGATAGTATTTTCTAAGAAAAAGCCAAGCTGAAAAACTGAGTATTCCCTCAGCTTCTTCTGGTCTATTTTAAAGAGCCACTCCTCTGATAATTTTTCTGCCTCCCCTCCTCTCTCCACCCCCAGATTGTGTGCTTAAATTGACACTTTATATCGCCTGTCATAGCTTTTTTCATCTTTGTATTATATTTACTTATCCAATTCTTTGCTATTCTGTTCAATATCTGTCTTACTTCAGAGACTTTAAGGTCTGTTTGCAGGAAATAGCCACGATGTCTAACTTCTAGATGAATCCCCAATACCCAATACAGAGCGGAGTATATTGTAAGTCCTTAGCATGTATTTGTTGAATGAATAATTTCATTTAAAAATTTTTACTTATTAGATTAAGACAAGTTGGTGGCTGATGCATTTAAAGACATCATTTTATGTAGCCAAAACGACTAAAAAACCTGCTTGGAGAGAGATTTAGTGAGAAGAATAAGGTGTTTGGGGTGGAGGTGGAGGGAGGTTGGTGTAGGATAGTTTTTCCTTTTGATTTGATTTGGTCGGAGTGGTGGAAGGGTGTCAGCCAAGTGTGAGTCTGTGCATTTACCAGGAATATTCAGTGTCCAAATGAACATCAGTGTCTTTGCTGTGAATAAATTTGCCTTGTGTTCAAAGACTTGGAAGGGACCATTGTAGTCATCACATCCTATGTTTCACTTTAAAAACGTAGAAACCGAGAACAGCTAAATGCAATGATTCTTTACTGGTATGGCTGAGCCTAGATTTCAGGTCATCTGATTTCCAGACCCAGTCGGAAGGGTCACTAAGTTCCTTTAAAAATAATCACTGCTGCTTTAATAGCATCAGCACCTGTTGTTTCAGCTTCCGCAAGAGAGAAGCTATTAATTTCTCCTCCATCAAAGCCGCATTTCTGGTCTGTCTGACCTTTGTTTTCTTCTAACTGCAGCTGTCTACACCAGTAAGGCCAGGCACCTCTCTGCTTGAATGCATTAAATCGCCACGCCCAAATTTAGAAAAAGAAAAGAAAAAAAAGAGTCACAAATCATTCAGACAGTGGTCAATCTGTGACGTTTTTCTCGAACTCTCTTCATTCCATCATTCCACCAGACGAAGCCCTAGGCATGCGAACTCTGCCACCTTCCTCGCGGGGCCTGCGACCAGCCGCGACCAGGAAGGACATCAGCTGCTGGACGCTGAGAGCGACAGTGACTCTGAGCAGCGACTTCATTGTCCGAAAAATGTAATTATAATCCGTCTTGGGGAAGTTCTGAGAATCAAACCGAATTTTGAATGGCAGCGATCTTCAATAAGCAAGTTTAGTTCACTTTACACATCACTGTTTCGTTAGCAAGGCTTAGGTTGCATAAGTTGCGTGTTCTCCCGCGCCGGTTCCAGCCTGCAGCCCCCGCGGCCGCCCGCCGCTCTCCCACCGGGTCCGGGCGCGCCGGGCTCCGGCCCCGGGAGCCCAGGGGAGGGGAGCGCGCAGCACGCATGCGCGCCGAGCCGCCGCGGCCCCTCTTAAGAGCGCAGCCCCGCGGCCGCGCGGCGAGCGAGTTCGGGGCGGGCTTGGTGCCGGGCGCGGCGACTTTGCGGGCGGCTGGCGTGCCCCGCTCCTCTGTAGCCCGGAGACGGAAACTTTTGTGGGAGGCGCCCTGGTGCGCACCTCCCGGGAGCGCGGCGGCCGGGGAGAGGGGAGAGGCAGCGGCCCAGCGCGGTGAAGCGAGCCGCTGCTGCGGAGGCGAGGAGGGAGCCGGCGGAGCTGCCCGCCGGGGACCCCGCGCCGCCGCCGCTGCCGCCGCCGCCGCCAGGCTCCCGGGACTGCGGCCTCTCGCCCGCGTCCCGGACGCCGCGTGAGCTGCAGAGATCGATCGCATGTCCCGCGGCGGGGGCCGTGGCGCACCCCGAGAGCCACCGGGGCTGCGCGGCCGGAGCCATGCGGACCGAGATCGGAGCTGAGCAGCCTGAGCGCGGCCGGGCAGCGCACTTGCTGAGCGCGGTTCGGGGCGCACCGCCCGCCTTCCCGGCCCCTTCCCGCCGCCCGGGAGCGGAGTGAGGGAAGAGAGGAGCGAGGGGAGGGAGGCGCTCCCGGCTTCTGAGCGGTATCCCGAGATCCCAGCCCTGCGGCCGCGTCCTGGCTCCGAGTCCGCAGCGGCTTCCCCAGCGGTCACCGGACTGAAGGGCCGTCCCCTCGGGGATGCCCGGGGAGGGTCCTCTCGCGGGCCGGGCCTCCGGGGGATGCGGGAGGACAGCTCTGGGCGCCTTCTGAGTCTGCGCCCGAAGCGTCCCGTCAGCGCAGACCCCCTCTCCCCGCTGCCCCGGGCAGGAGGAGGGCATGGCTTAGGGCCTCCGGGGCCAGCAGCCCGGCGTCGTTGGCTCCAGGGACGTCGCGGCAGAGGGCAACGGGCGCTCCCTGAGAAGAGGGACGAGGTCCCGGCCCGAGCACCCCCGGAGCTGGATCTCGGGGGCCGCGACTTGCCGAAGACCGTGCCGCGCTCCCCGGAGACGCGCGGCCCGCGCCCGGGTGCCATGCGGGGCGGCCGCCGCCCGCCCGCCGCCGCCCGGACCCCCGCCGCGCTCCTGCGGCTGCTGCTGGCCGCGCTGCTGGCGGCGGGCGTGCGGGCCAGCGGCGAGTACTGCCACGGCTGGCTGGACGCGCAGGGCGCCTGGCACGTCGGCTTCCAGTGCCCCGAGCGCTTCGACGGCGGCGACGCCACCATCTGCTGCGGCGGCTGCGCGCTGCGCTACTGCTGCTCCAGCGCCGACGCGCGCCTGGACCAGGGCGGCTGCGACAACGACCGCCAGCAGGGCGCCGGCGAGCCCGGCCGCGCGGACAAAGACGGCTCGGACGGCTCGGCAGGTAGGGAGGGGGGGGGGCGGTGCGTGAGCGGGAGGAAGGTTGGCTTCGCCCGGACAGTCCTGGGACCTGGAGAGGGGAACGGAATTAGGAGCGCTGAGATTTCGGAAAAGGGTCTTGGACCAGGAGGGGGTGCCAGCATCCCGGGCCAGCCGTTCTTGTCTGAGAAATGGGACACCAGTTCACTGTCCGGAGACTCAGTTTCCCCATTTGTTAAAAAAAGGTTTGGGTTGGATTGTCCCAAGAGAACCACGGGTCTAAGGCTGGGTGGGCCAAAGACAGCTCCATGATCCCCCAGTCCAAGGGAGGGCCTCGGGCTGTCTGTCCCCAGAGGTCTGACTTCCAGGAAGGGTTAGCATCTTGGTTGTCCCAGAGGAAGCCGTGAGGGCTGGCGGGAGCACTTCTGTGAAGACTCCTCAGGAGGAAGCTCCTCAGGCTCCCCGTGGGTGACCCCTTTACCAGATCCTGGAGACTCTAATCCTCTCTAGCATGCCGCGGCATCTCTCCCCTGTCAGGGCGAGCCTCTGGTTTCTGGACAGTTGTCACCATGTTGGACTTGGGAGGTGTGACATTAGAGCCATACCCAATCTTGCTCTTTGTGACTCTGATTTTTAAAAAATTATATATTTTTTCAAATTGCCAAAGCTAGAGTTGGAAAAATAAGTCCGTGTAAAAACTTGATAGGTTCCACTTCCTCTTCACAAACCTCCCAGAAGGCTTTCCTCCAGGGTCCATAACAAATATGTGTGTTCCAGAGGGAGGATTTAGGTTGGTGTAGGGGTAGAGGTCAGATGGCAAGCATGTCACCAAGAGGGCGGTGTCTCTCTTCTCTGCAGCTGGACAGGACTGTTCACAGGCACAAAGGCCTGGCGTTAAGTTACCTGAGTTGGTGCTTGTGGCATCTGTGTGGACAGAGCTGTCTCCCCTGCTAAGAGGCAGCTCTTTTTCAGTGCTGGTCCCTTTGCAGTCAAGCATTTTATTAGCAAGCCACTCCTGTTGTTCTGCTTCGCTGACTCTGAAGAGAGGAGAACTGAGGGTAACTCCAGAAAAGGTGGCATCTTAAAGCACAAGCTCAGCCTTGCCGGTGTGTGGCCCTGGAATGAAGCCTTGAGAAATGAGCCAAAGACGGAACTGCTACTTCCGTGTGTCAGCTGGGTTGGGCTTAGTAATGGTCTCTAAAAAGTCAGACTAGCTTCGGACACATCAGTAGGCAGCAGACTTCTCATGACACCCTGTGCTGTGCCTGGGTGCCTTCTCCACCCCACTTTTAAGTCTCCTTTTCCTGAAAATTCTGCTCCTCTTGATTCTCTTCCGCAGTCGAGAAGGACAACAGGCCTAAATAAGCAGTGCTGAGGGATTGGAGGGACGCAGCATTCTTCATCCCTGCGTAGTTACTTACACTTTCCATTACAAAGTCTGGAAAGAGAACAGTTATTTCTCCCCCAAATTCATTATGTGGACCTCGGTTGATTTCAGCTAGTTTTTGCTATAATGTTTGGGGTTTTTCTTACTATTCTTTCTTAAAAAAAAAAAAAAAATCCTCACCCAAGGATATTTTCCATTGATTTTGGGGTGAGTGGAAGGGAGAGGGAAAGACAGAAACATGGATGTGAGAGAAATACATTGATTGGTTGCCTCCTGCCTGCACCCTGTCCAGGACCCGTGCTGGGGAGGAGCCTGCAACTGAGATACATGCCCTTGATTGGAATCGAACCTGGAACCCTTTGGACTGCAGGTTGACATGCTATCCATTGAGCCAAACCAGCAAGGGCTCTTTTTATTATTTCTTTACTTCTTGACACCTTTAGGACTAGTATCTTAGTTTAGAGAATGAACTATTTATAGCATGTGGATGGAGACACCCCCATCCCCTGCTCTAGTGTGCTTGAAGTGACTATGATTAGAACAGTCAGAAAGCCAGCTGTGCTGTAAACTGTAGCAATTATTTCTACCTGCTAAAGGAACACTATATATAAATACAGTATTTATTCTGTTCAGAGTGGATGATTAAGGAAATCAAATGTCAGCTTTGGTTAAATACTTATAAAGTATGTTTTGCTTGTAAGGCATTGTTTCTCCATGACTTCATGTGCTACTGTATTCTAAAAACAGTGACTCCAGGGGACAAAGGGTACCTCAGAGGTGTGGGAGAACTGGGCTCCCTCCTGAGGTTCTGCCTGTACCACTGAGCTGGCACTGCTTTGCCAAGATCAGCAAGACCTAGTCTCTGTCCCCCTGTGTTTTCCAAGCAAACAGTTAAGGACATGGGCAGGAACACACAAAGAAGTAGCTTCTCAGTTACCTCAGGTGGAATTCTACCAAAGTGGCTCCTGGCATTCTGGCGGCTCCTCCCTTCTGATACTCCCCCCCCCCCCCCCCCCTCACTGGAGGTATTTATCCAGCTTCTGGAAGCCCCATGCTGCTATCCCCGTGGCTCACAAGAGTTTTTAGAGAAAAATAATAGAAAAATACAGCTTGCTACCAATTTCACTAAAGTTACTATTTTTTAAAAATCTTTTATGGTTTTATTTTTCAGAATAAGCCTCACCCGCTAAATATGGTGCCCATTGCTTTATGCTCTGTAGGCGTTCCCTGTGGCTCCTCACACAGAATGCAGTGTCGGAATTCCAGGGTGACTGTTCCACCCCAGCCTGCTGGGCCTGCCTCGGTGCTGCCTAGCTCACTGTGGCCACTCTCCTTCCTGGAACAAATACCTTGTCGCCCCCACCATTTGTTCTCCTCTGTACCTTGTTCCATGCGAACTGAAATAACCTCCCTGCACACAAGTCTCTTCCCCTTTCCACCACCCAGTGACCCATGCGAGGCCCCTCTACCCTGCGCCAGTCTCAGCTAGATAAACATGGGGAGTTTTTCTTACCGTTTTTTTCTTTTAAATATATTTCATTGAATTTTTACAGAGAGAAAGAGAGAGGGATAGAGAGCTAGAAACATCGATGGGAGAGAAACATTGATCAGCTGCCTCTTGCACACCTCCTACTGGGGATGTGCCCGCAACCAAGGTACATGCCCTTGACTGGAATCGAACCCGGGACCTTTCAGTCCGCAGGCCGATGCTCTATCCACTGAGCCAAACCGGTTTCGGCTTCTTACCGCTTTTTGACTTCTGTGCTTCACAGGCTGCTTTTGGAAATGGTCATGGCTAGAGTCTGACCTAAATTTTTTTATTGATTTGCCTCTGGAAATAAAACTTGCTAAATAAAATATGGTAAATGGATTTTGCAAGGAATACAAATAACTTGCTGGGGGAAGAAAGTTTTTTAGATAATTTCAACTCGTTTCTGTACAGAACTTACAGCTATCGGACAAGCATGGATGGCTCAGTTATTGTAGGGATATTAGAACAGTCTCAAAACATGAAACACGTTTTCAGTACATCAGTTTGCCTCAGCCAGTGCAGTTGGTGAATCTAGCTGTAAATATTAAACATTTTGCTTTAGAGGGACTGACCTGCCATGCCTGTTCAGTCTTCCCACCTTTCCTGAGACGGAATAGAGGACAGTGCATATGATGGGCACACAAACCAGTCCACCCCGGGTCCTTCAGTTCAGTGTCACTGCCGCTCCTTTCCGATCTCCACTGCCAAGCACACTGATTTTTACTGCATATTTATAGTGACTCATAATGTTATGTTTTTGCCCTCCAGTCCCCATCTACGTGCCATTCCTCATCGTTGGGTCCGTGTTTGTCGCCTTCATCATCTTGGGGTCAATCGTGGCCGCCTGTTGCTGCAGATGTCTCCGTCCTAAGCAGGAGCCCCAGCAGAGCCGGGCCCCTGGGGGGAGCCGCTTGATGGAGACCATCCCCATGATCCCCAGCGCCAGCACTTCCCGGGGCTCGTCCTCCCGCCAGTCCAGCACAGCTGCCAGCTCCAGCTCCAGCGCCAACTCCGGAGCCCGGGCGCCCCCAACGAGGTCACAGACCAACTGCTGCTTGCCCGAGGGGACCATGAACAACGTCTATGTCAACATGCCCACGAACTTCTCTGTGCTGAACTGTCAGCAGGCCACCCAAATTGTGCCCCATCAAGGGCAGTATCTGCATCCCCCGTATGTGGGATACACGGTGCAGCATGACTCGGTGCCCATGACTCCTGTGCCGCCTTTCATGGACGGCCTACAGACGGGCTACAGGCAGATCCAGGCCCCCTTCCCTCACACTAACAGTGAACAGAAGATGTACCCAGCCGTGACCGTGTGACTCAAGGTGCCGACTGGGTTTCATTACGAGACCGAGGAAAGCGGAAGCTGTGGAGTCGGCAAGGATTCTCAAAGCGGCAGTCCATGCATGCTGGGGATGTTCATGGCACAATTCATTTGGATAGTTCCATTTGCCCCCAAACTGTGTGAAAACATCTCTCTCTGAATTAGCTTTTGTGGATGTTTTATCCCAGTGCATGATTGATTTATGACAGAAAAGGACATCACCTGGAGATGCCTGTGTTGTTACTGATGGTTGAATGACAAATCTTGAGCCCTTAAGTGCCCTTGAGGTATGGCTGTCAAAAGATTTTTGTAAACAGATGATTAAGGGTGTTTATTATATTGTTATTATTATTATTGTTTCTTTTGTTTTTGTTTTTTACTGTACCCAGTCAAAATACCTATTCCTTTGCCTCTTACCTGGGTAAGTCTTTTATAAGCGTCCAAGGAAAAGATATTAAGAACACAATTACTATACAAGGAAATCCAGTTTGAGCTCCATGAGATTAGTCATTGGTCTCAGTATTTCATAGGTATTCTTTCTTTCATTGTAAAAAGACATATAAATGGTCTATTTTTGTGCTTTTTTTTGGTCTATTTTGTGCTTTTTTACCTTGTGTAGAGATCTTATTACAAAGTGATTTTCTACATTAAAAAGAGACTGAAAGAAATTGTTTAGTTACTTAACTAATGACGTTTCAGAACTCTAGGGTTTTAATCTTGAAGTGGTGGGTGGTGTAGTAATAAAGACATTCATCCCCTTCTTGATTGTATCTTCTAATTTTCCAACTTTACAGTGACATCTGAGAAGTAACTAGATTTTTTTATGTTGAAATTATAATCTATCACCTGCTACTTCTACAAATTACGTATGGCTTGGCATTTCTTTCTATTTGGTTTTTAGATCCCCATGTCTATATAGGACCCACGGCAGGTAATTACTGTGTTATAAATTAAGATCAGCATTTCTGCTTAGAACTGATAAAATACTTCTTGTTTCCCCTATAAATATCAAAGAAATGCTTTATAAAGGTTGAGTATAGCTTCTCAGCCATAATCTAAGGTTTTTGATGAAATTTAAACCACAAATATAATTTACTTTGCAAATCTTAAGGCTTTTTATACTCTTGTTATCAAAATGGCTTATTTTTCAGGCAATAGGGACTATTAAATCAGGAGAAAAGCTTTTCAAAGAGATATTGCCTTTCTTTCCCCATAAAGTTCTTGTTTTTCTCTCCTAGTCCTCAGCAAGCACTATATTCATTACCAGTGTTCAGAATTATGAGATTCAAGTGAGTTTGTGTATTGTTTACTTATAAGAAATAAGTTTAAGTATGTGCAAGTAAATTTCCAACTGCTAGCAAAAACAAGATTTGTAATTAAACAAATGCATAAGGTTGGTCTTTGACACATTTATGCAAATGTCTGTTACCTTTCATCTACCCTACCTATCATCTATCTACCTACCTACCTATCTACCTATCTTTCTATCTAACAATCCAACATCTATCTCATGTCTGAATAATGTAAAACCACTGTTGGCAATTGGTATCTGCAAAGATACTCAATCAAACGTTTTTAATTACCAAAGGCAGGGGGAAATAATTTTACTTATTAATAAATATTTTATGGTATGAATTCCTAGGGGAGTTGTTTTTTTTTCTTTTCATTTTCATTCTACTTGCTAATTTTAGATGGTCTATTAAATCTGTTAATATAATAAAATTGCTCAAAATTATAAGTATTGCTTTCTAGAACCAAGAGACTACCTTTAAAAGTAATCAATATCTGAGAAGTTTATATGTAAATTCTATGAGCCAGTAACATTATTTTACATATTCTATGGTAAATGTTGACAACACGAAAGAGATAGTTCTTTTTTAAAAAAAATATATATATATTTTATTGATTTTTTTATAGAGAGGAAGAGAGTGGGATAGAGAGTCAGAAACATCGATGAGAGAGAATCATCAATCAGCTACCTCTTGCACACCCCCTACTGGGGATGTGCCCGCAACCAAGTACATGCCCTTGACCGGAATCGAATCTGGAACCTTTCAGTCCGCAGGCCTACGCCCCATCCACTGAACCAAACCGGTTTTGGCCGAGATAGTTCTTTGAGATCATATTATAAAGTTACCTTGTCTTTGATGGTGGATTCTGACTACCTAAGGAAGTAAAATTCCTAGAAGATTGGAGGTAAAAGGGACATTAGAGATCATCAGCTTAGGGATTGGCAAACGTTTTTCAGTAAAGAGCCAGAGAGTAAATATTTTAAGATTTGCAGGTCATATAATCTCGTGCAACTACAAAGCTCAGCCTTTGCAGCACAAAAACAGCCATAATCCAATAAGCATGGCTGGGGTTCAATAAAACCTTATTGTTGGACTAAAATTTGAATTCTATAACATCTTCACATCACAAAGTATTCTATTTCTATTTTTTTTTCCATTTCAAAATGTAAAAATCATTCTAAACTCCAGGGCTCTAAAAAGCAGGCAGTAGGCCTGATTCATTATTCAGACATAGTTCACTATCCCTGGTCTAGTCCATCCTTCCCCAGTGCAAGCATCCCTCAGCCTATTTTAAAATACAGGGTTGAGGATGCTTATGTAAGAGTGTTTTCTTCTCTTATATAAGACTGTCCAACTTTTCCTTTTCTATGTGGTAATAACACACTAAAAGCAAAAACACACTTTAATAAATGACATGAGTTTTTCACTTGGTTCTACTTTCCAAAATACTATCATAATATATAGAAACCCAGGGTTGGTAATGACCAAAGGCTCGACTGACTGGAAGTCAGTCCTGCAGTCAGTGCTGCATTGTGGCAACCCAGCAATGACTGCTGCTGCTGAAGGCATGGTGACCCAGCACTGACTGCTGAGGGGGCTGTGGATCAGGCCCGGAGAGATCAGGCCTAAGTAGAGAAACAGGGTCTGCTCCGTAGCCTCAGTGGCAGCTGTTGATCAACCCTTGCTTCTCTCTCTCTGGGCCTGGCCAGCAGTCACACCTCTTTCTTTCTGGGCCTCCTCAGGGCTGCTTATCAACCCCACCTCTCTGATCAGGCCTGGAGATAGGCTCAGAGATGCTGATTGGTATAGAAACTGACCGATCAGAACCTAATCTGGGTGAACTGCAAAGGCAGAACCTAAAGTGGGGCTTGAGGAGGGGTTTTAAGGGCAACAGCTGTTTGGTGTAAGGTGTAAGAAAGCGGTTCAATTTTTTAATGACCTGTTTGGCAGCATAGTGCATATGGCTGGCTAACAGTCCACATATAGGGACATCCCCCAAGGAGTTCCCAATTGGAGAGGGTGCAGGCTGGGCTGAGAGAACTCCCCCACTCCCCATGCATGAATTTTGTGTATCATGCCACTAGTACCTAATGTAACATCATTGGATGCACACTCAGACCTTTTCAATTTTGGTAAAAATTGGAGTAATTTAGCTGTCAAAGTAAACAATTTCAAATACCTTTAAGTCTACCTTCCTTATTGTCAAGAAATCAGAATCTATAAGGTCTAATTTACATTCAGTACAAATATTTTAAAGACTTGGGGGACAAAAGAGGAGCAACTACAGTTGGGAAAATAGTTTTTTCTGCAACGTTTTCTCTGTATCTAAACCTTTCTCATTGGTTCATGATGATTTTAGGGGAATTCTATATTGCTGTGTGTAGGAGAGAGAAATGTTTTGATTTCGAGGAAGAAGAAATGAACCAGCACTTCATGTCCATTTAAGAGTCTGGAAACACGCATCTCCTGTAATTCCTGCTGCAGCCAGAAAAGCTAAAATTTAGTAATAACATCAACACCCAAAGTGATGAGAAGACCATTAGGAAGATGTGTTTGAGTTTAGCATATTTGCTTTGGAAAACTCATCTTCCACTTACCTAGTTGCTTGATGAACAACATATTACATTTATTAAATTTACCTTGAGCTAATTTTAAAAAAATGCACAATATTTTTTCACAAATTCGATGATTAATATTTCCTCATTCTTTTGTTGCCAATTAGGATTCAAGTAAGCTTCCTTCAGAAGCATTTCCTGGGGAAACCAGGAAGGTTCGAACGAAGTTGGTAAGGACAGGGCAGCTGTTCACAAAAGGACCAGATATGGAAGAGTTTAAATGATGCTAAAAGCTGGGATCTGAAAAAGTCTGGATTAATTCATCCTATTCTCAATTTGGCCCCTACTTGGTAATAGAACTCACATTTAGTCCCTTTTCTCTTGGAGACTTTGTCTCTGTTTCCTGCAAATTCACGTTGTCTTTTGCTTATAGTTTCCGTCTCCCTCCCATACACCATCCTCCATTGTTTATTAAAGTGGTTTAAGTTAAGGAACACACTTGTTTCTAGTTGCTTAAGCTTCCTAAATGCTTAAAAGGAAAATAAGCTGTGTTTTTTTTTTTCATGGACTTTAGGATGGAGGCTTCTCATTAACATAGCCTGATCTCCCTCCAGTCAGTCAGAGTGTAAAATTAAAATGTGTAATGCATATTTACTACCCTGTCCATGCACACCTGCACCCACAAGATGTGCATGAGGAGCTGGTCAGCGTCTGGGGTAGGCAGACTGACCCTGCCAGTCATTAGGATGGAATGCCAGCAGCTCAGGCACCTGTGGGCCGGACTGGACTTGATAAGTTCCTGCTAGGTAAATATGTAGCAGCACTAATGGCTAAGTGAACTTTCTAGGACTTCAAAAAAAATGTGATTACTTCCCCAAGTTTGCTTATTTCCTTTGCCTCTTGAGCAGGAGAAAAATCAAAGTGTCTGAGGAAGCTGTGTAATCTTGAGTGGAGGAAGCTCAACACAGAGTGGCTTTAAAAACCCAGGCAAGTCCTGGGAGCCCAGAAGTGGGTCTGGACCTGGCCACTGGGGAAGGCTCACCCTTTGTGACCCACTTCCAGAGCCCTATTCATTTTTCCAAGGAGCAGCCTAAATGTTACAAGGAGGAATAAATCATGCATATAAATGAGAACGCCATTCCTCATCA